ATAGGAATTGGGTGTTATGTATGTAAATGCCCCAATCATTTAATTTTTAGGTGTTAATGAAAACTTATCTGGAATAAAAATAAATAAAAATGAAAACAAACAATCGAAGCGGTTCTTAAAGACAGAAATGGAGGAAATTGGCACAGAGATTAACAATGAAGGGATTGAAGGTGATGTCCGTCGACGGAGACCTGCGGCGGTTGATGGAGACGGTGAAGGGCAAGGAGGCCAGCCAGAACTGTGAAGGGTTGTCATTTTAATGGAAGTATTTTTTGTTTTTAATTTGATATTTTGGGTGCTATATAGCAAAGTTTAGGTGCCCAATATATAAATTTCAATGTTTTAGGTGTCATGTATGTAAATCCTCCGTATTTTTTATGGGATGTCGCTTTTTATAGTATAAAAAAGAAAGTCAAGGTGACAAAAATTGACCTGATATGTAACTCGATCGCGACTCCACTAGAAAAATTTGAGTTCTAGTTGACTTGAATATATTTAAGGCAGGGTTTGGGTTAGGAATCAGAACCAATATAATCTTTTAGGTGAGGTTTGAGATGTCCCGCTAATGTGAAATTGTCCCACTAACCCTAAAAGGACTCGCCAACTTGAAAGTGACACGAGATTGATCTCAATAGTTGTTATGCCCTTATGTTGTTAAACGGTTATGTTGGTCGGGTTCGGACCGATAGGCAGAACGTGGGCCAAGTTCAGGTTATGCTTTCTAACCTTTTTTTTTTTTAATTGGTCAGATCCCAAACCCAACTCACAAAATTGATTTAACACAAAAAAGTGAAAAAAACAAGATAATTTGATGAAGTGTTCTTAATTTATTTAATAGTTTACTATCAAATTAGACAGGCTATTTCCTTACTATTTACATCATGTGGTTTTAGCCATAGAGTTTACAAAAGTGTCAAATTAGTGTCCAGTTATTTTAAAATCAAGTCGTAATAGTTATTTGTGATGATTATTTAGAGCCAATTTAAAGAATCTCGTAATAGTTCTTTGTGATGATTATTTAGAGCCAATTTAAAGAATCTTAGAGAGATTATTTTGACTTTTTTGTAGACTCCAGGTCTAAAAAGACCATATAAGTAATTGTCAGCTATTATGGCACTTATTTATTTACGTCCAAACTTCGAGTGGTGTCTCATAGTTCCTTAAGGTGGTTGACTTGGCGACAATCAAGCTGTGGTAGCTTAAGTGCTTTTGGATGAGTTGCATGCTAAAATTGACGGGATGGATAGAATTACGTGCTTTTGGATGAGTTGCATGCTAAAATTACGTGCTTTTAGACAAGTTGCCTTAATCTTAGGCACTATTCGGGGCACTTGCAGCTGTTTGAAGAAGTAGCTGCAAGTTACTCAAGAAGAAGCTGTTGTTCAAAAAGTTTCAGTGACTACTAAAGAAAAAAAAAGGTTACCACAGATAGTTAGCTATGATGTGAAATACGATTTTTAGATGCAGTTTTTTAAGAACACAAGCAAAAATAATTTTACTAAACAAGAAAAAGTGTGGTGCGACACCCCTTCTCCGCTGCCCCACCACCCTAAGGTGCACCCTTAGTCTCCATAGGCGAGTTGATATGACCTTGGGCAAGCTATCACAAATTACGTTGAATTGCTAGCATAAGTGGGTTTGGCCTAATATTATTCGGTGGGTTGTGTTTGCTCGCTTGGTCAGCATCTTGGATTCATGCGAGATACGTGTACATTTTGTATTTCATTGTAAAAGGTGGATTTTGTGAGTATTAATGTTGCAGGCTTATAAGAAGACATTAGCATGTTCCATCCAGCATATCGAGCAAAGTATATGAGATTATAATATCATAGTTTTTATGCTAAATGTGATGGGGGCAAGAATGTGCATTTTAAATTAAAACTTTAGGGAAATTTACATACTTATCAGGCTAGCACCCAATTCTGATGTATTTACATATCTCATGTCTAAACTTTCATATTCACATACATAACATTTTGGTGCTTTAAACCTATTAATAAGAAGGTTTATTTCACTTTTAAAAAGTGATGATAGTATTATTTTTAATGTGATATTAATGATTCGAGCACGACACTACATTATAATTGTGTGCTATGTATGTAAATGCCCCTAAAATTATCTGTGCAAAATTTCTCTCATTAGATGAAAAGTAGGATGTGGGAACCGAGTTAATCTTGAACATAAATGGATAGCTTGGAGGAAATATTTTGGTTATTGGTTTGTTGAGTTGACGTTTGCAAGGATGAAGTGTTGAGATAAGGAAAAAATATTACGTCCCGATGGTAGTATTTAGGTGTTATCAGGAAATTTTGCGATGTTATTTTAATAAAATAACACCACAATAGTTAAAATGACATCTCAATACTACCTGATAACACTTAAATATTATCATTCACATATGTCAGGACTCTTCATGAATATTTTCTCAGAGATGAGACGCATAAGGTCTCCTTGTAAATCACCGTAGAATAACACTTAAATATTATCATTCACATATGAGACGCATAAGGTCTCCTTGTAAATCACCGTAGGTGTTGTCAGGAAATTTCATGAATATTTTCTCAGGATTTTAAATGTTAGCGCCATGAGTGAGCAAAAGGTCTCCTTGTAAATCACCGTAGGTTTTCAAGGAAGTTCCACTTTTGAGTAATTGATTGTTTATCAATATAAGATTAGTGTTGAGTTTCATTTGACAATGCCAATAGATTTATCATGCAAAAAATATAAATTGTGTGTGCTGTAAGAGCATAGATGGCTAAAGGTTTGCCAACTTTGCTAGCGATCCACACCTAGAACTCTAATATATTTACATACACCTTAAATTCTTACATATTTACATGCATACCCATCCAATATTTAACATCTTAACATCACAAACTTTTTTAAAATGAAATAAATCTTTTTATGCATATATTTTTATTACTACATATAAATAGTGGTTAAATTTTAAATTATTTCATGGCTTTTTAATTATTTATATTAAATAGTACTAAATATAAGAAAAATCCATTAATGTAGATTAAAATTTTAACATATCCCATACTAAACACTGCATGTGCATGTGCAACATCAATCAAACACAAATATAGAAGTCCCATAAAAGATTCTACACCCCAACTTTATTTAGCTTAATAGTACCACATTCCCTCCACAACTTAATATTTTATGTAAATTTTTGATGCATGATCGCATGCCATGCATTATCTCACCAATCATATCAATTTGCAACATAAACTAGATCATGAAAGTAAGTTTAAAAATAACATACCAAATGTACATAAGAGACGAGGCTACATTTAACTAATAAAAAAGCTACAAAATTTATATTAAATCGAACTATGAGACAACACTAAGGACACTGTCTCATTCCCAACGCACGACTAACTATTTACCTAATTATATAAATATAAAAAAAAATGTTATTATATTTAATACCCGGAATATATATATAATATATATTGGGAGAAATATAAAGGGAGTAGTGGCGCAGCACCAACCTCTCCGGCCAACCTCCACCGGCCGTCGGCGACCTCTAAGCACCAGATGGCAGTGAGCATTTCCCCACCTCTGCAAAAACATTTAAGAATCGTTTCAGAACTCTGGTACAACAATGGACGGTCAAGATGAACGCAGACATTCATGCATATTACTAATAAAACTTTACACGAAGCAATTCAATTTATTACTAGTATAGCACAGCATATTCTCGGCCCCACAATATACCAAATGGTCAAGTCGACCATGTGATTGATGATAAGTTAAAAAAAATAAAAAATAAATAAAATAATTGCTATTATATTAATAAAATAGAAAATTCATAAATTTACAAAAAAAAAAATTACATTATTAAACACTTCATCTGTATGTTTCTTCCTACTGTTCTACATGATAGAATATTAAACTTGGAATATCTCCAATAAAAAAAAAAAAGACAAAGAAGGATAAAAATGGCAGGGCCCCCTGTTTTGGCCCTACTGTTTCGAATGCAAATTGTCAAATTGAAGGGTATTAAAACGCAAAAGAAATAGAAAAAAATTGATTTTTTTTTTTTTAAGACTGCAAGAAACTTTTTTTGAACATTAAATTAGATGTTCCGCGAAAGAAAATGTTAAATTGTCAGATTATGAGAGCTAAATCGAAAAAAATAGAAAAAAAACACCCGCCATTAATGCAGAGGAAAAGCAGCACGAAAGTGGGTTCGAAGGAGGGAGACGACGAGTCACATCGCATCGTTCCGCGAGTACTCTCTCCCCGTGATTGGAAAAGATTCCATCAATCACAGCCTTCCATTTCTCAACGGACAAATCACTCAGAGCCGTTCAATTTCCCACAGAAGTAAAAAAAAACAAGCAAGTTCGCCGGAAAACTTACTCGGCGGCTGAGAGACAACGTAGGCCGCTCCGGCGAAGTCGCAAGATTCTGTAGCTCTTCCACTTTTCTGATAGTAACTGTTAAAAGCGTAACTGGAATGAGCTTCCACAGTGTTCGGATCATAACATTCCGCTCCCGGTTGAATCGAACGGCAATCCGCACCTCCTTCCCCGCACGCATAATCAAGCGCTGCTTGTAACCTCTCCCTCCCCACCGCTGCATTGGAAACACACCATTTCTCCCCCGTCTTCCCCTCCGCCGGCAACCCATTCCCACCGCTCCCACCGCTTCCACCGCTTCCACCGCTTCCCTTTCCCCTCTCCTCCTCCCATCTCAATCCTCCATCATTCAGCGAAAGCTCAATGTCATACACCTTCTCTTCATTCGGGTAAAACAACCCATAGTTTCTCTCCGAGGTCGGCCCTGGTTTCTGGTTCTCGTTAAACAGAGCAAATAGGTAAACGCCCATGTCCGCCTTGGGACGCAGCGGCGTTCCGGCATTGCCGGTAAGAACTCGACGAACGAGATTTCCGTTGTACGCCGCCGCATTAGCAGCGTCGGCTCCAATCTCCTTGGAATCGCCCTTCGACGGCCATCCTGTTTCTGATACAACTATTGGCACGTCGTCGTATTTGAGCAGCGACATTGCGGCAAATACGGCGTCAATTTGGGCGTCAAACAAACTCAAGTACTTCAACCCGTTGCCAGAATCTACGACGCCGGAATTTGGGCGGAATAGAGCGTAGTCGAGGGAGATGACGTCGGAATTAGCTTCGTAGGCGAAGAAAGGGTAAGCGTTCACCATTAAAGATGAGTTGGTTTGGCGGAGGAAATCGAGCATGGGGCGAATGACGGATTCGGCGAGTTCCGGGCGGAAGGATCCGGCGGAAGAAGGGTAGGAGGATTGGAGTGCGGTGAGGGCTATGGGGGAGGAGAGTTTGATATCGTTGTCTAGGTGGAGGCGAACGAGAGCGGACTGGAGGTTTCTCATGGCTGGTACGAGAAAGGAGGTGAGGTTGTGCGGGTCGACAAATACTTCATTGCCGACGGCGATGGTGCGGATGGTGGTGGAAGGGTGGAAGGCGGCGACGTTGCGTTGAATCCAGTAGAGTGCGAAGGAGGGGCGAGAGGCCGCGGCGGCGAGCTGCTCGTTGGGTAATGTGACCACCGCTTGTATGCCGGTGCCGGCGAGAGCTTTGAGTACGGCTGGATCGGCGTCGTACAGCTTTACCTGCGTTATTCCATGAGATTTTAGCAGTTCGACTACCTTTGTCGCCGGAGGTAGGTCGTTCGCCACTCGGCCGTAGTTAACTCCGATGAAACCGGCGTCTGGCAAGGATGCAGAAGACAAGGAGCGGACTTTAAAGTGAAAATGTGGTGTTGAGAATGAAAGGAGGGAGCTTTATGAATGAATGATTTTGACTTACCGGTTGTGAGGAAGGAGGCGGCGGAGAGTAGGAGAAGATAGGAAAATGCGATAGCTCCCATGGCGAAAAAGTTGCCGGAAAAAAGAGCTCCCTTCGGTTTTCTCCCTACGGTCATATGGAGGGAAAGGAGGAGAGCGGGGGGCAGTTATATTGCGTTAGTGGGCCTTAGGTTACGGTCATGGAGTAGTGGGTCGGCCCACTAATTTGGATTTTGGATCCCATACAACGTAGGGAACTATTGCATACTATAATCAAGAGCTTCAGATGGATACACGTGTTTTAAACTCAATGGTTGTTTTCAGTGTTCTGTGATCTGCCAATTACGTGCATCGAGAAATGGGGTTTGGGTGGGACCCACGCGGGTACTCGACCGTTCGCCGAACGGATCGGAGAGTGGGGGTTAAGAAAATGAGAGATTTAAGCAAGTTGATTAGTCGACTAGACTGATTAATCGGTTGACTAAACGTAATTAAGGGAACAGTTGGCGTTATCTTATTGGGCTTTGAGAATTGGCAGATGAGCTGTAAGGGAAGGCAAGTTTTTGACGGCTAGTAAACGGTAACGATGTTATGACGTCGTCATGTATTTATTTCGTCCTAAGACGGTCCGCGGTAAACAATTACTGCTGTTAACTGTGCCATGTAACGGCTAGTTGACGGTAACTGCTGTTATTCCATAAGAATTCAGGATGCATACGTTGTATACATCTAAAAGATTTTATTTTATTTTATTTTTTAATGTATTTACATATGGGACACCCAAAGTTAGGATATTTACATTCATACCACTGGTGTCATAAATATACCCATAAAAAAGTCGATTAGATTCTTACATATAAAATAATATGTCTATTCCTAATTAAAAATATTATCACTACATTCAACGATCGATAATACACGTTTTCATGTACAGACAGAATGCTACAATTATAAACATTTAGATTTAAATGTTAGATATGTAAATACATAAAATTTGTGATATATGTATATAATTTTTTATATATTTTAATTATGATAGCACAGGATTTATATCATTGATTATTGATATTTATGAGGGATGTTTTATTTAAAGTTCGGCTGTCGCCCGTCCTCAATACCTTGTGTTAATATATTTAGCTCAATCAAAAATCTATACACTTGTGTGCGAAATTATAGTTGTATGTGTTTGAGAAAGGACAGCTCAATCAAACAGAGTTTAAGTTAAAAATCTATACACTTGGTGCGAAATTATAGTTGTATGTGTTTGAGAAAGGACTATGCATGGATAAGACGTAAGGATGAATAGATCTTAAAGGTCTCCAAGACCCATGAAATAGACCGAGAACAGTCGCCGAAGTGGTCAAAACACGCCACTTAGGTCAAACTAAAAATATACGTCGAAATGGTCAAACTAAGCCCAGAATCAAAGTGGTCTAGTTAACTCGATCATTACATAAAAGTAAATGTGTCCATTCATATTTATAGTGCCGCCTGACACCCACGTCAAAATCTTTTACCAAACTTTTCGAGGCATTTTGATTCTATGCTTTTATCCTAAAAGCAAAATCTCCCATGAATTGTATGAGCTCAGGATGAATGTGGCCCTACAGCTTAAAAAATCCAACAATATCTGTTAAAACTCAGAATAATGTGGTGGAATACTTAATATTTCATTGATATGAACGATGTTATAAATAACTCTTACAAGAATCTTGTAATAGGAAAAATAATAAAAAGAAATGATATGAAAAGAAGAGTATAACACCTGATATCTCCAATAATTAATTCATATTAATTATTAAGAGATATAAGAAATAAAGTAAAATAGGAAAACAAATTTCTCATTAATTCTAAAGAAATAATTTATTTACAGGAATAAATTATTTCCTATCACAACTCTAATTCTAAGGAAATAATTTATTTATAAGAATAAATTATTTACTATCATAACTCCTAACACTTCCCCTCAAGTTTGGAATGTATATTAATAATTCCTAACTTGCTGAGTAGTATCGAGAACTTAGAAGAGTTTAGTGGTTTTGTAAAAACGTCCGCTGACTATTTTAAAGTAGACACATGAGTCAATTTTATTATTCCTTTTTGAACTTTCTCCCGTATAATCTCGATGTGCTTTGTTCGCTCGTGGTATACCGAGTTCAAGGTGATGTGAAGTGCTGCTTGATTATCACAAAACAAATTGGCAAGATGTGAATGCATGATCCCCAAATCTTGCAGAATTGTTCTTAGCCAAATAATCTAGCAGCATGTAGTGGCCATTGACTGATATTCAGCTGCTGCACTAGAGCGTGATGCTGTGGTATGTTTCTTGGTTTTCCAAGAAATTAATGAACTTCCAAGGAAGATACAATACCCAATAACTGATCTTCGAGTGTCCCGACACCTAGCCCAATCTGCATCACAAAAGGCATTTAGTTGTGTTGAGCTTTCTGTTGAGAGGAAAATTCCTTGTCCTGTTGTTTGTTTTATGTAATGTAGAATGAGATGAACTGCTTCTAAGTGTGACACTCGTGATTTGTCCATAAATTGACTTAATACATGAACTGCATATGTCAAGTCAGGACATGTGATAGTCAAGTATATTAATCTCCCAACTAGACTTCGGTATGATGATGGATCACTGACATATTCTCCCTTTGATTTGTTAAGAGAGAAGTTTTGTTCCATCGGAAAAGTGGCTGGTTTTGCACCGATGTACCCAACGTCCTCGAGTATTTCAAGAGCATACTTTCGCTGTGAAAGCACAATACCCTTCTGAGATCGCTCAACCTCAATACCAATGAAATATTTCAATTGTTCAAGATCCTTTAATTTGAATTGGTTCTTCAAGAATATTTTGACATGTTCAATTTCTTGTAAGTCGTTTCCTGTAATGATGACATCATCTACATATATAAGAAGGGCGATGAATTTACCATTCTGGGATCGGACGAACAAAGAATAGTCTGCCTTTGACTGCATAAAATTAGCTTGCTTTAGAGCTGTGGAAAGCTTGATGAACCATTGTCGTGAAGCTTGTTTGAAACCATATAATGATTTGTGGAGTTTACAAACTCGAGTCTCCCCCTATGGTCCGAGGCCAGGAGGTAGTGAAATATATACGTCTTCGTCGAGGTCCCCATGCAAGAAAGCATTGTTGACATCTAGTCGGTGAAGATGTTATTGCTTGGTTGAAGCTAACGCAAGAAGTAGGTGAACAGTTACAAGCTTTGCTACAGGGGCAAAAGTTTCCTGGTAATCTAGCCCTTCAATTTGATTATACCCTTTTGCCACTAATCTGGTCTTGTAGCATTCAATTGTCCCATCTGCATGAAGTTTGATTTTGTATACCCTTTGCATCCAATTGGTCTCTTTCCAGGCGAAAATGGTACAAGGGACCATGTGCCATTGACGTTGAGTGCATTAAGTTCTTCTCGCATAGCAACCTGCCACTTTGGATTATGAGCGGCTTCTACAAAGGTGCTTGGCTCCTTTTCATTTGAAAGGGCGGTGGTAAAAACACAATATTTAGGTGACAATCTAGCATATGACAAGACGTCAGTTAATGGATAAAAGTTACCTGTGGTTTTGACCAACACAGAGTTCGATGTTAGAGGTTGTCTTGAGGGAAGAGAAATACCAACATGATACTCACGCAAATAGCTAGGCATTTTTGTTGTTCTTATTAGTCGCGGTGGTGATATTTGTTGGTCTAGAGTTGCAGGTTGTTCTGAGAATAAATTTGAAGGTGAAATAGTCTCTTGAGAGAGAATTTCATTGTCTTGAGAAGATAGAATATTTTCTTGAGGTAATTCATCGAATGAAGACATGTCGGTGTGGGTGGTAAAGTGTGAAATTGAGTCCTTATCTGTAGCGAAAGAAGGAGAAGGAAAAGTGTTTTCATGGAAACAAACATCGCTTGATACAAAAACCTTCCCAGTTGAAAGGTTATAGACTCTATAGCCCTTTTGCATATATGGATACCTTAAGAAAAGACATCGAATGACTCTGGGATCAAACTTGTTTAGTCGCTGATGATGTGTCGAGGCAAAACAAAGACACTCAAACACGCACAAATGATCATATGTGGGTTTTGTTTGGAAGAGCATTTCAGAAGGAGTCTTTCCTTGGAGAAGGGGTATTGGTGTTCGGTTGATTAGGTAGGTGACAATTAGGATTGCATCTCCCCAAAATTTTTTGGGTAAATTAGCTTGAAAAAATAAGGCTTGGGCTATTTTGAGTAAGTGACGATGTTTTCTTTCGGCTACACCATTTTTGTTGTGGGTTGTGGAGTAGTGGAGACACAACTTGATTGGTGAATGATGACTTTGTCGAGATAGAGATTCCTCAATATGAATTCATGACCATTATCACTTCGAATGATTTTGACTTTTAGATTGAATTGCGTTTCAACGAGGTTTGTGAACTTGATGATGTATGAATGTGTATCTGATTTATGGTTCATCAAATAAGTCCATGTGCATCGAGTATAATCATCAACAATTGTGAGAAAATACCGCGCTCCTGTGATTGAAGGAACTTGGTATCCTCCCCAACTGTCAACATGAATTAATTCAAAAGGTGTTTCTAAGTTAATGGAACTTGTTTGAAAAGATAAACGAGTTTGCTTAGCCAATGAGCAAATTAAACAATAAAAAACATTACAAATTTTCTTGTCTATAATTGGAAAGGGAAGCAAGCTGGAAATTTTATTTGATGGGTGATCTAGACATTTATGCCAGAGATTTGGGGATTGTAAAGCAGCAACATTGCACTTGCTCTTTTGTTGAGTATCAAGGTAGTAGAGTCCTCTTTTAGTTCCTGTCCCAATCATCTTCCCCGATTGTTGGTCTTGTGGCACACAAGTGTGGTTATTAAAAAAGGCAAAACATTGTGAATCAAACACAAATTTGCTAATAGAAATCAGATTTAATTTGAAAGAGGGGACACATAAAACATTTTGTATAACAAAGTCAGCAAAATAGATGTTGCCTATGTGTGTGACAGTTGCAGTAGCTCCGTTAGGCAAGTGAACTTTTCGATTGATGATACTGGATTTTGTAGTAAGTATGTTGACTAAATATACTATGTGATCCGTGGCTCCTGTGTCTTCTGCAATTGAATTAAACAACCATTGACAAGGTTGTTGCAG